ATTAAAGTTTTTCTTCATTACCCATTCAAGCCGTCTCTAGCCATTATTAGTCTCAAAGTGGGTTCATCGTCACCGAATCTAATATATCTGATGACTTAAGTTTTTCCATCTGTAATATATCTTATATTAGTGCTTTAGGTTGCACAATTTATTTCTATGTATTTTTTATGTACACTAATGTTTTATCTGTGTATTCATATTATTATACAATACTGTGCTTGCTAGATTATTATTATGGCTTGTAAGAGATTATTTCATAAAGTTGCTTATCTGTTTGCACTTGTGTTTTTAAAATTGATAACTTTCTTATTTGCATTTTTTTTAACAGTCTGTGTATGTAAATCTGTAATACTATTGAAATTATTATATTTCCTGGGAGATATTAATTACAGAGCTAGTTATTTGACAGTTTTTATTATTAACACATTGGTTATTGTAACTCTGTGGGACTCGACTTGCTGGTGAAGATAAGACAGCTGATTAATTATCACACTTCATTAACAACAACAGTAATTTCAAATCTGTATAAGAGTTATTGGTCATTTGTAGTTTGTTTTTAATGAACAGAATTACCTAGTAACACATAGATTATTATAGAACTGAAAACATTTTTAGCCTGTTTTTGGTACATTATCACAGAAAAGCATGCAGATAGTTTGTCAGTTTACAACACACAAAAACTAGTGATTAGATTAATTAAAGTCATATGTATGAATTAATGATGTAGTGACAAAATTATAGCTTCATAAGTCTTGAATTGGGAACTGATGTTGTCTATCAAAAATTGCAGGAAAGTAGAATATATGAAATAGCTGTCAATGGAATAAATACCTTCAAGGATGAATGTGCCTCTAAAGGTAGGTTGTTTAATTACTGAGTGAATCAGTAAATGTATTATGTTTGTCACTGCTATGAAGTTCTCCATTAATAAAAAGAAAAGGGAATGTCAAAATATGTGTTTAGTTAAAGTTATATCTCAAAGTAACTTGTTAGTACTTGAGTGGAAATAAATGTATCATAAGATATTAGTTCTTGTGAATTCTCTTTTATTGTATATTACACTTTATAGACATAGTGTATTGTTACGTATCTGATCGTTTGTTAATTTCCGGTATAAATTCTTTCCGAAGAACTT